ATCTATGTATAGCGCCACAATACCTGGCGCTATACATTAATGCGCTATGTATAGCGCCAGGTATTGTGGTGCTATACCTGGCCATGTCAGCTTTTACAGTATAGCGCCACAATACATGGCGCTATGCATTAACGGTTCCGTTACTGTTAATGTATAGCGTCAGGTATTGTGGCGCTATATATAAAAATGTAACTTTTTTTTACCACCTATTTGTGTAGTTTGAGTAAAAAAAACCACATTTTGATTCCATACTCTCTAATCAATGGCTCATAAGTGGAGTACTGCTTTTGGTGTAAGCTTTTAGTAGTATTACTACTCATGTACTTCTTGCATACATCATTTGGTTGCCTATGACAACCCAATATAATCCCATTAGTGGGGTCTGGGGAGGGTAGTGTGTACGCAGACTTTACCCCTACCCTGAGGTAGAGAAATTGTTTCCAAATAGACCCTCGACATCCTTCCCTCCAAGAACTCCTCATCTTGCTCTTAGGGTGACTCGAACTCACGACCTCTTGGTTGGAAGTGGAAATATGACAAAAAAAATTGATTGAAAAAAAAAATACGACAAAAATTTATATACCTAATGAATAATAGTCATAAAAATCATCATATCGGATTCGTTTAATAGCCCAGTTAGTCCACGTAAAAGAGATTTTATTACAAGATTCTTGACCCCTAAAAGAACATTTAATCATAAAATTATTTGTCTACTCGTTATTGTTTGGCCAACAAAATATAGATCTTAGTTCAAATAATTAAATTTATGTAAATAAGAGTTAATCTTAGCTAATAATAATATCCCTGGATGAAGTTCTTAAAGGAGTAGCAAATACTGTGTGAATATGGTCAGGCTGTGGCGTAGGCATACAATAAATATTCTAGAAATCAGAAGCAATAATGTGATATTAAATAACAATAAATAGCAATAAAATAACATTTAAGTAAATAAAATGAATGAGTTACCCAATAACGGAGGGAGTGAGTGGATGTTCTTTCTAATAAAGATGAATGATAGACATTCCCTTGAATATTCGAGTTATTCTCGTATCTAATGGCAAATTATCGACCAGAATCTCAATGGAAAGGTGATGTTTGTATTTTAGAAAATGAGATCTGATTCTCTTTCTCAAGTCAAAGTATCTTTTTTACAAATGAATATCACATGTCCCCTATCATACTGCCTTTTTCTATTTATAGGAAACATACGGTGCAGAGAATATTCTATGTCACATCATGTCTTGAAACTAGCCATTATACTCCGTCAAAGGCACTCGACCTCGGCCTCGTCCCTTGTTGATCCTTCGACTTCGTCATTTGTTGACTCTTCGACCACAGACTTTGCCGCTTCTCCGGCCATTTCGACAAATGACGACTTGAAAACTCTTCCCCTAATACTATCTTGGTTTGAATATTCTAAAAATAGATTTTAACTCATACCGTTATCTCTCTTAACTATCTCATTTATTTAACATTCCACTAATTGAAACAAGAAGTTTATATTTAGAAAAAAGATTATAAAAGACTTCTTGTATTTCTAAAACATTACATATGACTCCTCCTTTTTAATTTATGTGATGTTATTTCTTTTTAAGTATATTAAATAAAGAATAATTCCGTTTAAATCAGGCGAAACAATCACACATACACTTTTTATTTTTTATTGAATGAAATATTTTTAGAAGCATACAAATGTTATGACATTTTAAAATCTCAAGTTTAATTTTTCTTTTTTGTACAATCCTTATTAATTAAAGAAGATCACATAAAACAAATTGTAGGGAGCGAAACAAATTCAGCTTGTTAAAATGACTGATAATTTGATAGAAGTAATTACTAGGTCGTACTTATTATTGCATGGCTCGGTGACAGCCTCTCTGCCATTCTGACAATAAAATTGGGCTCTAGCTCTAGACGATTTGGCGGCTCGAAGCAGTTAGGTAGGCTGGATTAATGACGGGACGCTGCTGTAAATTCTCTTTATTTGATTTGATTTGGGGTAAGATTGCAGCACCGGGTACTACTTGAAGTCGAACTAGCATTAATAACATTTGGTATAGTTCTGATTATGGGACTTAAGGTTCTGATAGATCAATTAATTAATCCTTGAGTTGTGTATTGTCACGATCCGGATTTTCTACCGTTGGGACCGTGATGACGCCTAACATCGCACTCACTAGGCAAACCAATGTTAGAGTTTTATTCACTTTTTTTCCTTTACTTTTTATAATTAAAAGCTAACAAAGTCAAACAACAAAAATAAAAGCGGAAGTACATAATTATTGATTATCCTTATACTACTAACAAAATCGAAACAGTTACCACCCAGAAACTGGTATCAGAACTCACGAACATTCTATGAATACTACAAGTAAGGGTTTGAAAGAAAGATACATATATTTCGAGAGAAAATAAAACAGAAATGAGGAAAACATAGGAGGGGACGCCAGGGCCTGCAGACTGTTGCAGGACTACCTTGGGTCTCCTGGATGAATACCTGCAACCGACCTCTCGATCAGCCACAACTAGCTCCGAAATCTGCACAAAAAGTGCAGAGTGATGTATCAGTACAACGGACCCCATGTACTGGTAAGTGCCGAGCCTAACCTCGACGAAGTAGTGACGAGGCTACGGCGGGGCATAAACAATATATCATGCAACAGTTTATAATAAGGCAAAAAGGAAATACAGAACGAAATGAAACAGTAACTTGCATTAAATAAATACGGAACCCAGTCGTCCTACCAATACTCAGCTATAACCAATCCTTAAGAGAGTTTCAATACCACAATAATGAATCACAGTAGAAGAAGAATACATAAACAATAAATGATGTGGCACGCATCCCGATCCCATCATATAACGGCGTGAAACCCGATCCCACCAGTCCATCCTTATTATTCCTCAATATATATCACCTTTATTCATCCTGTCGCAGCGTGTAACTCGATCCCACATGTCAATCCTTATTACTCCTTGTTGCGATCCGCAACCCGATCCTACCAGACAATCACATTTCACCCTTATTCCTCCTGTTGTGGTGTGCAACCCGATCCCACCATACCAGTACCAATCACAAAATAAGAACAAGTATTTCACAATTTAGCTCAAAACCCTCAACAACATTTATACCTCAAACCAAAACAACGGGAGATCTATACAATTATGAAACTTCATCAGTTAATACTACACAGCGTGACCAACCAAAGTGTACCATGAAGCACCAATAAACCAACTTAAACCAACAATGTAATATAGTGAAACTACGGAACAATTAATACCTTCAATAGAGAAAATAACATTTAACGAGAAGCGATTAGACATGGAAGCAACAATAAGCAAGTAGCAGTTAAGATAGGAAAAAATATATATTAGGAAATGGGGAAGGGAACAAGCTAAACAGATAATTTGGCGGCGCATAGGTACTCGTCACCACATCTATACGCCACATACATGGAATTTCACATAGCAATTAAGTCGGGGATCCCTAATCCCCCGAGTCAAGGTTAGACCAAACACTTACCTCAAGCCAACAGGCAATTCAAAGCTCAAATATCGTTTTACCTCTCGATTCCACCACCAATCCACTCGTATCTAGTCATAATCAACTCAATAACATCAATTACCGCTAAAGAAATCAATTCCAATGCATAAT